TCTTCAGTTGCTGCAATAATGTCTTCAAATGCAACCCTCCCATCAAAGTTCCATATTGAGAACATATCCCCATTTTTTGTTGGACTTAGAACTGCGTCCTTACTTTTAGCTCCATTTATTCTTCGAGAAAGTAACAACAATGCCAAAGAAACCAAAACAGGAGAAATGGTGCTCAGAAGAATAATTTTAACATGTCTCAACACTTTGTTGGAATTTTTTCTATGTTGAGTGAAAGGAGAAGGCGAAGTAGTGGGGCTGTTAAAAGGATAACCGTATAAACCTGGGTTGTCTATAAAAGAGTTAAGTGGAAAACCAGACAAAGTTTCTGGGATTGGGCCTGTGAGATTATTGCAACAGAGATTCAAGCCATATTGATTCAAGTGTACTAAATACCCAAGTTGTGAAGGTATTGACCCTTTCAAATGATTTGAATCAAGATACAAGTCGGTCAAATTGGTTAAATGACCTAGAGTATAAGGAATAGGACCAGTGAAATTGTTAGCACTAAGATCTAAAATATTTAGATTCTTCATATTTCCTATTTTAGAAGGAATGAAACCTTGTAAATTATTTGAACCAAGATTCAAATATAGCAAATTAGACAAATGAGATAGAGATGAAGGGATACGACCAGTTATTTTGTTTTTACTAAGATCCAAGTGCCACAAATTATATAGACTTCCTAAATTTTGAGGGATAGAACCATCTAAGTTATTTGAATCAAGATTCAAAATTAACAAATTGGACAAGAGACCCAGAGATGAAGGGATATAGTCGGTTATTTTGTTATTACTAAGATCCAATTCCCGCAAATTATATAGACATCTGAAATTTTGAGGGATAGAACCATTCAAGTTATTTGAATAAAGACTCAAAAATGACAAATTGGACAAGAGACCCAGAGATGGAGGGATTTGATCTGTTAAACTGTTTTCATAAAGATACAAACCCTGCAAATTGGACAAACGACACAGAGATGAAGGGATTTGACCTACTAAGTTATTATGACCAAGATTTAGAAGCTCCAAATTACTTAGATTTCCTATGCTTGATGGGATGGAGCCATAAAATAAATTTGTTCCAAGGTGCAGGATCCTCAAATTTGTCAAGTGACCCAAAGTTGGAGGGAGCGGACCAACAAGCGCGCAGTGACTCATGTGGAGATAAGTGAGATTCGTCAATTCCCCAAATTCTGGAGGGATGCAGCCACTAAACGAATTGAAACTGAGATCTAGAAATGTCAAACTGGTTAATTGTCCAAGACGGGATGGTATTAGACCCACAAACAAGTTTTTAGATAGATCCAAAGAAACCAAATTCTTTAAATTTCCCATTTCTGAAGGTATGGATCCATTGATTTGATTGTATGCAAGAGACAAAGAAACCAGATTGGTTAAATGACTGATGTTGGAAGAGATTGGACCATTGAGGGAGCAATCGCTCATGTCTAAGGCTACAAGACTCTTCAAGTTCCATATTTCTGGAGGGATACTACCATGAAAAGGATTTGAGGCCAACTCCAAGTGGGAAAGATTGGTGGGAAGGCCTATAATTGGAGCACTGGATGCAGTGAGGTTGTTCCAAGTCAAGTTCA